TGGTATCGGAGCAAACCATTTCACGGATCTGCTCACAAGGTAAGTCTGATTAGGAATAGATTGCTTCTCCGATCTTCCCAATCAGCTCTGTATTACTATCGAGATTCAAAGTTAAATTTTTTTTTCTTTTTTTCAGTATTTTGTTTAATTTGGCATTCTATTTCGATTCGGTATTCTGACTTTCAAATCGGAATTTTGTTTTCCATCGGTATTCTGTTTAATTCGATTCCCGATAAATTGGTATTCTGGGTAATCCGATATGCTGTTTAAATCGGATTTCTGATTCAAATTCTTTATTAGGTTAAATCAGTATTCAATTTAATTCAGCATTTTAATTTCAATTCGGTATTCCGGGTTTAATTCGACATTCTGATTTTGATCCATTATTTCGTTTTTGCAATTCAGTCTTTCCGTTTTATTTTGGTAATGGAAATTAGGGTTACAAAAATTTTCATTTTTTCGATCAACTTGGGAAATTCGAACGTTTTGATCCGTAATACCGGAAATTCCGCGGAATCGCGAAAAATTAGGGTTGGATCCCAAACTTTCACGAATTTTTTTTTTCCTCTTTCCCTAAGTTTGAGAAATTTCGAAAACGGACCTAGGCCCTTAAAAATCGGATTTTGTAGGTTGAGATTCCCGAAATTTCACGCTTTCAGAAATTCGAGTGTTTTTCTCCCTCATTTCCAAAAAAATTTTGGGGCAACCTGCCCGAATCTTTACCCTTAGAATTGCAGCTTCCGGGTAGTTCACTAATTAACGGTGAACTCCCGGACCTCAGATGATCTCAACGGATACCTAATCTTGTTACAATTCAAATTCATTAATTATCATTATTGCAATTATTATTTTATTTATTATTATTAAGAATTATTAATTCGTTATTAATCATTAATTAAATTTTATTGATTAAATAATTCGTTATTATTTTCTTATTACGAATTTTTGAGTTGTTTACGAAAGTAATTATTTTTTTCCGTTTGATTAGATGTCTAAAGTCCATCAGTGGGACAGGGACTGTATGCGAAGTGCTTGATTGTTCTACCCCTGTTCCCACTCTCCCTACCCTCCCCGTAATCTGTGACCACCGGGATTTCTCAAGTACCACATCAGCTAGAGATGATGTCGACGGAACAAGACACCAGGGCACTGCCACGACGCAGTGCCAGACTTGCAATTCGTAGCCGTTCTGTGGTACCTCCACGAACCAAGTATCAGCAACAACGACCCAGCAAGCGGACGACTCCAGCGGCATCGAGTACAACACTGACAGTACCGGTTACCACCGGAGTTCTTCCCGCATGTCTGGTCCAAGGGACCCTTGAACCGTTGGCTCTTGGGCGACTACAGGTATTCACGAATGTCGTAGCTACGGCCAAGGCTCAGCAGGAGGCAGCTGAGGCAGAACGTCAGCGGCTGGCTAATGAGGCGGCAGCCCAAGCTCAGCAGACTGCTGAGGCTGACGCAGCGGCACGAGACAGATGGAATGCCGTCAGCACGGAGTCCCTGATTCAAAGTGAGAATCAGTGGACAATGCTACTCCAAGGCATGATCTTTGTGCCTACGGATGAGCAGGCGGATCCGACACCGGCGGAGGCAGAGAGAAGTAACCTGGCTAACTTGCTGCTGGGCATGATGAGGGGAATCATGTGGAATAACACACTGCTGCAAACACACCTGCGCACGGAACGACAACAAAGACAAAAGCACCAGCAAGACGTGGCCGCTTTAACAGCTGTCGTCCGCGCCGCAGCAACACAGCAGCAGCAACAGGAACAACTGTTTAACTCCACTCTCGCACGCATCAACAACATTGAGGCTAAGGCCTCAGCAGCGCCAGGCTGCACGACAGACGCAACGAAGCAGCTCAACGAGCGCATCGATCACGTCGTCATTATCATTGGCGAACTAGGTGATTTCACTAGTTCGGCCACGATCAGCAGCACGGTGGCCGCCATCAAGACGAGCATCACCAAACTGCAGACAAGACCGGACCCTGCTACAAAGAATTACAAGATGACCCACTTCGACATCAGCAAGTTCGACGACTACAACAAGACGGACGCCTTGACATGGTGGCAAAATTTCCTCACGGAAGCATCATGCCGCACTGTCCCGGCTGACGACATGATGAAGGCGCTCTACTTACAACTGATTAGAGGAGCGCAGGCATGGATGAACCATCTGGCGGCTACCAAGAAATGCACCATCCACACGCACATCACGTGGAAGGAGTTCGAGCAACTGTGGTTCACTCGCTTCATGGTCCGCAACGTCGTGAAGGCAGCCATGAACTAGGTATACACCTACTCGCAAGGGAGTATGCCAACTCGAGACTGGACAACCAAATGACAAAGGATAATGACCATGCCAGGCTTCAATTTGAGTTTTCCTAACCAACGATCCGAGTTCTTCTCGCGATCGTGCGCAGTACTGCGAACCGCACTCGGCAACAAGTACGATTACGCCTCATTCTAGGCTATCTTGGATCATGCGAACTTGGTCATCCAAACGGATGACAAGGCCGCAAACGAACGGTTGTCCCCGCCGCATTATGTGGCTAAGCAGGGCTATCAACGACCGACACATAACAATGCCATGATTTCTGAAGAAACTGTCGATCTCCACGCTGCAGCAGCATCCTCGATTGATGGAGGAATTGTAGCAGCGCTCCCACCGAAATGTCCCAAGAGAGTTCGAAAGAACAAGGCGACACAAGAGACAACATCGACGGGAACTGGGCAGCAGCCATGAACGACATACAAGATAACCAAGGAAGTCTATGACCTTCGTCAACGGTACGGATATTGCCTTTGGTGCAATGGAGTCACTCACTTGACCGCACAATGCCCCGAAAAGGGCAAGGCACGCGTACCCCATCCAGCTAACTCGGGAAACTGAGTTACGCAAGGAGAGGGGCGACGTCTCTCCTCACTCCGCCGGACCCAGTTGCCTTGCTAGCAATCGATGTCACTACCGGGGAGCATGCGTTAGTCGTTGATTCTCGTGCTACGTACGAGGATTATGTCGCCCAGCTGGTACCACCACTAGACCAGCCGAGCCACGTGCACTTAGATTGCGTATGCTCAGCCTGTACACCGTCGGCAAGTGATCCGGTCAGTTCGCCAATGATTTCCGAGGACTCGACGGCGTGGTCAAGACTTGAGGAGCTTGACCCGCTCACGTGAGAGGACTTCGCTTGGATGCCTCTATCATCGACTGGAACCTTGCCAAGGCCTCATTGCAACGCCTTGATGGCAAATCTACGCTCCTATTTGCACACTACAGTACCAGCTCCGTTGACGGACGACGCGGTAGCGGTTGTCGATCTCCGCTCCTATCTTGCGAAGATTGACCGTTAGTACGCCACCGAAAGGTACGCCGAAACCCACGCTCCTTTGCTCTATATCCGCATTCAAATCGGAAAGGTAACCTGTAGTGCCTTGATTGATTGCGGAGCGTCTTGCAACTTTATGAGCCAAGCCTTTATGGCYCGCGCGTTCGAAGAAAGACGCAACCTACGCAAGTTACACTCGCGGACGACCGCACGCAAAAGTCAATTGACCGATGCGTCGACGACGTTCCGGTATACTTTGCGCCACTTGCGTGCGAGCCGGTGTCCTTTGACATCCTTGACACCAAGTTCGACATGATACTAGGCATGTCTTGGTTGCNCCGGTATACTTTGCGCCACTTGCGTGCGAGCCGGTGTCCTTTGACATCCTTGACACCAAGTTCGACATGATACTAGGCATGTCTTGGTTGCGTAGTGCCGATCATTCGGTGAACTTTCATGACCGGACCGTTCACATCCGTGATCGGAACGGAGTGTTAGTCCCATGTACGGTCGCGACCCCCTCACACTTCGATTGCTTGTCACGTGGTTTCCGTTGCGAGAATTCGCGATGCCATAGCTCGGAATGACGTCGAGGAGATGGGCCTTGTATTCTTGCATGCTCTCCCCTCGCCGGACAGACCAGCCGCGTCACTACCGGACCCACGCATCACTCACCTCTTGGACGAGTATGGAGACGTCTTCGAGGCTCCCACCGGAACGGTTCCGGATCGGCCCATACGTCACGGGATCACTCTCGAGGCTGGCGCCGTCCCTCCGCGTGGATGTATCTACCGCATGAGCAAAGAGAAACTCGAGGTGCGTCGCGCACAACTCGATGACCTTCTCGACAAGGGCTGGATTCGCCCTAGTTGCTCGCCATACGGTGCCCCTGTTCTCTTCGTCCGGAAGAAGAACAAAGATCTACGGTTATGCATCGATTATTGCAAACTTAACGCACAAACCGTAAAGAACGATGGCCCTCTCCCTCGGATTGATGATCTCCTTAAGCGGTTAGGCGGCGCGACGTACTTCTCGAAGTTGGACTTGAAGTCGGGTTACCACCAGATTGAAATCCAGCCTCAACATCGGTACAAGACCGCGTTCAAGACGCGGTACTGGCATTTTGAGTGGGTTGTTATGCCATTTGGCCTCACCAATGCCCCCACGACTTTCCAAGCAGCTATTACGACCGAGTTTCGAGACTTGCTCGATCGCAGCGTCCTCATTTACCTCGATGACATTTTGGTTTATAGTAGGAAGTTGGACGAGCACATCGTACACCTTCGCGCTGTTTTGGATCGTTTGCGACTGGCCAAGTACAAAGCGAATCTCGACAAGTGCGAGTTCGCCAAGCAGGAGCTTGAGTATTTGGATCATTTTGTCACGCCGAAAGGCATTCGTCCCTTAGCGGACAAGATCCAAGCCATCGTGGATTGGCCGGAACCCCGTTGCACGATGGATGTACGCTCTTTCATGGGTTTGGCTGGATATTATCAGCGATTCGTCGAGTCATACTCGAAAGTGGCCGCTCCTTTGTCGAAACTTCAGTCCGCGAAGGTGCCCTTCGAGTTCGACGACGCAGCCCGTGGCGCGTTCACTACATTGAAGACAGCGATGCAAGCCGCACCTGCCCTCCGTATATACGACCCCACCCTTCCCACCCAAGTGACTACGGAGGCTTCGGGATACGGTATTGGTGCGGTGTTGGAACAGTGTCACGAGGACGGTTGGCATCCAATCGAGTATATCTCCCAAAAGGTGCCTCTCGTCAACACTCTCGACGACGCTAGGAAGAAAGAGCTACTCGCGTTCGTCACCGTTCTCAAACGGTGGCGCCACTTTCTTCTCGGCCGTCGGCGTTTTAAATGGAATACGGACAACAATCCGTTGATCTTTTACAAAACGCAGGATACGGTCACTAGCACGACCAATCGATGGATGTATTACATCGACCAGTTCGACTTCGACGCGTGCCACATTCCCGGTCCCTCCAATCGAGCTGCGGACGCCCTCTCACGACGGCTCGATTTTTGTGCCATTGTGACCACGGCATTCGACCTCGATGACGATCTGCAGCCGCATTTCGTCAAAGACTACAAGTTCGATCCGACTTACTCTACGCTTTACGCGGAGCTTTCATCGGATCACCCGCCGGCTAGCCACTATCGGATTTCCAACGGGTTCCTTCTCCTTCACACTAGAGGAAAGGACTTGTTAGTTGTGCCCCAAGATCGCATCTTACGGACTCGTCTTCTCGACGAATTCCACGACGCACGACTTTCGGCACACCTTGGCGTGAACCGCACATTAGCACTCCTCCGCCAGCGTTTTCACTGGTCCGACATCCTTCATGACGTCACGAGGTACATGAGTCATGTGCACTTTGCCACCGTAACAAGGGTCGATCTCGAGTCCCATTCGGCGAACTGAAACCGTTGTCGATTCCTCGGGCACCGCGCCTCTCCATTGCTATGGACGTGATAGGCCCGTTCCCCCGCGATCGCCATGGCCATGACAGTATTCTCACGGTCGTTGACCGTTTGAGCAAGTATGCTCGCTTCCATCCTTGCAAGTATCATGTTGCAGCGCTTGAGCTCGCACGACTCTTGCACACCGGTTGGATTACCAACTAGGGTGTTCCGGAAGACATAGTGAGCGACCGAGATACTCGCTTCATGTCGGCTTTTTGGACTTCCCTTATGGCTGAGTCCGGTACGACAATGAAGCCGAGCTCGGCTCTGCACCCGCAGAAAGATGGCCAGACGGAGCGAGCACACTTGACCGCTCAGATGATGTTGCGTACGCTCATCCGTCTCGACCAGAAAGATTGGGTTGACCGGCTTCCCGACATCGAGTTCGCCTATAACACTCCGGTGCACCCGGCGATCTGCGTCACACCATTCGAGCTACATCATGGTGGAGAGAAAGCATGGATCTTCGTTGATCACTGTCTGCCACAGGCCGCCGACATAGACGTCCCTTACTCTCCCGCTTCCGTTCGGAAGTACCGGGACTTGTTAATCAAAGCCCGCGCGAATATGCAAAAGGCTCAAATCCGCATGCAACAGCAAGCTAACCGACATCGACTTCCATGTCCCTTCCACGAGGGAGACCTTATTTGGGTCCTCTCCGAGGAATTTGCGCTCGAGCAGGACGTTTCGCGCAAACTTCTTCCGAAATGGTTCGGACCATGGGAAGTCACTTCTGCCATTGGAGACGACCCCGCAGGTCCTTCCTTTGTGGTCAACATTCC